TTCTATGAGTATGCCAGAGGCTGTAAGAGTACAAGGATGGGCCAGACACGGTGGCTCACGCCTGTAATCCCAGCACTTTGGGAGGCCGAGGGGGGGGCAGATCACCTGAGGTCAGGAGTTCAAGACCAGCCTGATGAACATGGCGAAAACACATCTCTACTAAAAATAAAAATATTAGCTGGGCATGGCGGTGGATGTCTGTAATCCCAGCAACTCGGGAGGCTGAGACAGAAGAATCGCTTGAACCCGGGAGGTGGAGGTTGCAGTGAGCCAAGATCATGCCATTGCACTCCAGCCTAAGTGACAAGAGCGAAACTCTGCCCCCACCCCCCCAAAAAAAAGTACAAGGATGAAATATTTAATAAAGTATTCATTGAAAACGTATCACATACATAAAGGTATGCTAAGTGTTGGGATTGGGGAAAGCAGAGATGCAAACATGAATGTGGACAGTTCTTTCTTTTAGTAGAGTTCACAGTCTAGTTGGGGAGAGAAACAAACTTGTTACAACTAGCAGGAGTTAAGTGGGTGAACTACAGGGGAGAGAACACTGTGTGGAGAGCATTACTCACTAATCTTGACCTCACCATTGTCTTTCACACCTCCATGCCCTTTCATATGCTATTCCATCTGTCTAGCATGTCCTCCCCAATTTCTCTCCCCCTTTCCTGATAAAACCAGCTCAAATTTCATCTCTCTTACCTCAGACAGCAGAATTACTTACCTCCTTACCCCTCCTTGGTATTACCCTAGCATCTATAAACAACCTTACGAAAACATATTCTATGTTCTGTGATTATTTGTTTGCATATTTATCTCACCTACCAGAATGTGAGCACCTCACAGGGACTGCATCTTATTTATTTTAGAACCCCCGGCACCTAGAGCAGTGCTAAGTACCTAGTATGCAGGATGGGAATTAAAAATTAGTGGTAGAGGGAATATTTGAACCCAAATACCCTGACTCCAGCTCCAATGCAGAAGGTTTCTGCCAAGAGCGTACCTATGTCATTATATGGTTGGCATATTTAATATAACAAGAATGCATTATTAAGCATTCCTTGTTCTGAAAGCCTCTGAAATACTTTTAAAATGGTGTTTCTTATGTACTTCGCGGGCCACAGAAGTACTCCTGCAGCTGAGATAAAACAGAGCAGTTCTTGAAAAAAGCAATATGTAATTGTTTGAGGAAGGAAGTGACAACAAACAACATGTTAGTTGAAATAATAACAATTAAAATTTGTAACCTTCTATTCCCTCTTTCCCTCCTACTCCTATTTGCCACCCAATATATCTTGAATTTCATCTGGGAGATTTTTGGAACTAACTAGACCAGCTGATGATGTCATGGCTGCAATACTGCAGCTACCCCTCAGAATTGCCCCGATCCTTGTGTCCTTTCTCATTCTTGCTAACGATTTAATTATAAAGAGAGAAAATAGGGTGTACTCTATTCCATACATTTAACAAAACAGTTAAATTGGAAAGAATCAAGAAAGATCAAGCCCAGTGTTGTTAACTGAATGAGATGTTCAAGATATATTTATCACTATTAAAGTCATAAGAAAGGCACTCTTTTTTTCCAATTTACTATAAGTTATAGAATTACATAGCCATATTTCCCTATAGCTTTTGACTAAGGGTCTTGGGATGGGGATAGGTGGCACAAAAAGAAAAAGAGAGGGAGGAGAGAAAGAAGAGAGAAGAGGAGGAGAGAGAGAAAAAAAAATAAACTTCACCGATGAATCATAGAAGTGGGCGTGTTTTCTGAAGAAGCCACTTTCATAACAGCTCCTCAGCTGTCACTAATGGCCAGAGAACACACATTCACTGAATCCTTACTCTAACAGAGACCATCTCCTGTAGCATATGATGCAGCTTCCCTGCATGATTTGAAATGATCTCCCTAGACCTTCTTTATATAGAGAGAAGAAAATAGTAAGTATGTAACCTACAGTTTTCTTGTCCTTCTGGAGTGTCAAGCACTAGAAATGGTTTTGTGTGGGGAAAATTGAATCAAGTATAAATTGAGGTTACATTTAACAATGTGGTTTTAATTAGTTTGGACAACAGAGTGTGTGTAGTATGAAATGTTTTAAATATCCTGGAGACGTACGTCCTTTCTAATGGAACACGTGGCAGTGGAAGGTAGCAGAAAAATGAGCCCCTGTTCAAAACTTAGGAATAATGGGTCTTGAAATCAAATCATTGTGTGTCTACTTTGCTTGAAGTCCTGAAAAAAATGAATGAGTAATGAAAATCAACAGACTGTTACTTTTTTGTAAACATTTTGTCTAAAGCTTCAACATTTGGTGTGGGAGTGAGAGGACAAGAATTGACGTAGTTTAATCATACAAAGCTCTTGGGTCTCCTTTGAAATGAAATCCTAAGTTTTGAATAAGGTCAGTTGTTGTTAGCTCTGATTGTGACAGTTTTTGCTGTGACATGTATCATTTTGATAATGTATTGAAGGTAAAGTATAAAAAAAAAAAATTTGTTTGGAGGGTAATGTAAAACCAGATAGGCTGACAAGAGTGCTCTCATTGCTCAAGGGAAATCCCATTTTTACAAACCACAGAAAATATGCTATTTCTTAAGACTTGTTTCTTTGCTAAGTGTTACTACCTATAAACTATTCAAGAGCACACAAACAGATGGGTATAGTTGGAGGTTAAGAAACAATCTTTACCTCCTTTACGATATAATTGCTGCATGTGATTTATTATAAATAAAAATGGAAATATTTGAATTTTTGATTTTCTCAGAGTGCCTCTATGTGAACCTTTTCATTTTGAGAATCAGTAAAGTTTTCAAACTCTTTTGCCTCCAAAGTATCGGAGAAAGCCTTACTTTATAGCTCTTTCTGGGGCTTGTGTAACTTCTTTAGCTGATGTGCTTGACACAGGGGATTGGAGATGGGCTATATAAGTCATAACATCTCAAAACTGGGTTGTGTAGGTAATTATGTGGCTCTGTTGAGAGCATATATGTGAATGCACTTAGGCAACTCTAAGATGTAATGCAAATGTAAATGATTGTTCAAATGTTATTACTGTTATTGAAGTTTTATAACTTATTTGTGATTTTTAAAGTAAAATGCGATGATTTGATACAATACAGATTTGAATTTGTTCTTTTAGAAGCTAACTATATGTGTTCTCATCCTTTGGGTCCCATTTATAAGTGAGAACATGCAGTATTTGGTTTTCTGTTCCTATGTTAGTTTCCTAAGGAAAATGGCCTCCAGCTCCATTCACATCCCTGCAAAAGACATAATCTCATTCTTTTTTATGGCTACATACTATTCCTTGGTGTATATGTACCACATTTTCTTTATCCAGTCTATCACTGATGGGCATTTAAGTTGAATGTCTTTGCTATTGTGAATAGTGCTGCAATGAACATACACGTGCACGTGTCTTTATAATATAATGATCTATATCCTTTAGGTATGTACACCTAATGGGATTGCTGGGTCAAATGGTATTTCTGTCTTTAGGTCTTTGAGGACACATAGAGGGGAACAACACACTCTGGGGCCTAACAGAGTGTGGAGGATGGGAGGAGGGAGAGGATCAGGAAAAATAACTAATGGGTACTGGGCTTAATACCTGGGTGGTGAAATAATCTGTAAAACAAATCCCCATGACACAAGTTTACCTAGGTAACAGAGCTGCATATGTACCACTGAACTTAAAATAAAAGTTAACAAAAAAGTAATTCTGAAAACAGTGGTCCACTTCAGAGGAGAAACCAAGAAAATAAAGCTTAGTATTCTTATGATGATTGAACTATAGTCATTTCTCAATTATCTGGGCCCCACCAGAAATCCCACACAGCAGATAATTTTTGATATGTATATTTTCTTTGAGAATTCCTTTTATGAAAAAAAAATTACTAGAAGTGGCAGGAAGGGCAGCTGTCTAAGTAGGTATCCCTAAGTCTCTATCAAAACATGCATTCACAAAACACAATAACAAGTGGCTTGGTCACCTGCAGATAATTGAGAACTTACTATTTTGTTCTTGACTTGATTACTGCTGGGTAACTCTGTTCTATGTGGTTAATGGGCTTTCTGGAACATTTTCAAAGGTTTTGGCTCACTAGAAATGGCCAGATGTTTCTACCTCTGTATAGGATGTCATTTGGCAGATTCTGGAAAAGATGAAGTCGAGTTGGTAGTCAGATGAAATTATAGAACTGGATATAATTTGTTTTAAGAAGCTAAGAGCTTCGTCACCAGATAGTCACGTGTTGAAGATACAGAGCTTGCCTATAACTTGTTTAAGAATATGATTAAGCAAATGATTGCAAACTTGCATCTGAATCTAAAAAAAGCAGAGAAACATATGCAGGCAAAATCTGCTAAAAGTGACCTTGAGAAAAAAAGATCTAGTAGAACCTGAAGACTAATCTTGGAAAATTTCTCTATGCAAATGCAAACTGAATAAGTTGTATTTCCTAATAAAAAGATTAGTGGGAGAGAGAAGAAAGTAGAAGACTTTGATCTTTTTTTCTTGGTGGAAATTTCTCCTCGAGGATATGGTGTGGGATCTGGAAACACTTCCTGGCAAAAAGGGAGAGTCTTTCCATGGAAATATATGTATGTGTGTGTGTGTGTGTGTGTATATATATATATATATATATATACACACACAAGAATATATATATATTCTTGCTCCTTGTTGAAATGTGATGTTTCTCTTTCTCCAAATTGTTGTGGTAAGCAAATAACTTTAGCTGTTATTTTGTGTGCATGTCATGGGGGGCGGGACGGGGGGGCAGGAATTACAGCATTATTACCACCACTGAAATATTTATGTCTAGAATTATTATAGAATTAGGGACTCTTTAAGTTTAGTCTAATCATTGTAAGCAGAAAAATCAAATGCAAAAAAAAAAAAAAAAACCCTGTAGTTTCTTAAGAAGAAACCTCTGTATTCTAAAATGCTTTTCCTAAAGTTTACTAAATATGATGTGGTGTGTGTGTTTATTTGCAGGGAGTGGTAACATCTGAACATACCAAACCAAACAGGCAAACTCTTGCACCATCGCTACCACGACATTTTACCACAAAAGAATGCCACTGCATGTGGATTCCAAGCAGGCTAAAAAGAAAAAGAACTGATTAGACCTCAGACGACCCACTAAACGGGATGACGGCCACAGCTGAGGTAGAGACACCAAAAATGGAGAAGAGTGCCTCCAAGGAAGAGAAGCAGCAGCCTAAGCAGGACAGCACAGAGCAGGGCAATGCTGATTCTGAAGAGTGGATGAGCTCTGAGAGTGACCCTGAACAGATAAGCCTTAAGAGTAGTGACAACAGCAAGAGCTGCCAACCTAGGGATGGTCAGTTGAAGAAAAAGGAGATGCCCTCCAAGCCACACCGCCAGCTCTGTCGATCTCCCTGCCTAGATCGTCCAAGTTTCTCCCAGAGCAGTATTTTACAGGATGGTAAACTTGACTTGGAGAAGGAATACCAAGCTAAGATGGAGTTTGCGCTAAAGCTGGGCTATGCAGAGGAACAGATTCAATCAGTGCTAAACAAGCTGGGCCCAGAATCACTTATTAATGATGTATTGGCAGAGCTTGTCAGACTTGGGAACAAAGGTGATTCAGAAGGGCAGATCAACTTGAGCCTGTTAGTGCCTCGTGGGCCCAGCTCCAGAGAGATTGCAAGCCCTGAATTGTCTCTTGAAGATGAAATAGACAACAGTGACAATTTGAGGCCAGTTGTCATTGATGGAAGTAATGTGGCAATGAGGTAAGCCTGGTATGTTTTTTCTTTCATTTTAAAAACCTGCCCTGAGCTCATAGAAATTTTCTTCCTTTGCAAATCATTATAAGAGGCACATGGCTATTGACTGTGGTGTGTGTTTCTGAAGGTGGCCAGAGACTAAAATGATCCTGCTCTTGCCTTTTCTTCCTCCACTGAAGTTGCTGCCAATTTGTTTCCAGGTGTTCTAAAGGCAGCTTCAACATCAGTGATGATGCTTCAGAGGAGACATAGCCATTCAGCTTTGTTCCTTTTGTGGTCTGCTGTCCTACCCCTACTTTACTAGACTAATCATCCTGAAAATGCTGCTTTTATAAAGTCACTTTGCGGTTTGCTTAGGAACTTTCAGTAACTCTCAACTGTTATTATACCAAATTTGATCCTTTTTCCTGGCTTTAAGGCTCTTTGTAATCTGGCCTTTCCCTCCTCCCATTTGATTGTATCTCTCATGCTTACTGCATTTACATCTATCTTTTTAATGGTCTCCATGAAAATTATGCTGATTTCTATCCCCACCACCTGTGTTCATGCCTTTTCCCAACTTAGAAGTGCCTCCTTTGTATCTTCATAGCCTTCAAAATGCACCACCTCCACAAAGAACTTCCTAATTTTTCTGATTTCAATGATGATCTCTGAACTACAGTATCTGTGGTAGGCTGAATGATAGCCCCCCTAGAGATGTCCACATTTTAATCCCTGGAATCTCTGAATACATTATCTCATATGGTGAAATGGACTTTGCAAATGTGATTAACGTTCTTGAGATGGGAGAGATTACCCTGGTTTATCAAAGTGGGCCTAATGTAATCACAAGTGTCTTTATTAGAGGGAGGCAGCAAGATCAGAATGAGTAGAAGGAGATGCAATGGCAGAAACAAGAAGCTGGAGTGACATAAGAAAGGGACCATAAGCCAAAGAATGTGGGTGACCTTTTTGACCCATTGGACTGTTTCAGGAAGAAAAAAAAAGAAAAAAGAATGTGGGTGGCCTCTAGAAAGCTGAAAAAGGCAAGGAAACAGATTCTCTCTTTAGGCTTGCAGAAAGAACACAGCTTTGCCAACACCTTGATTTTAGATTTCTGACCTCTTGAACTTGTAAGAGAATAAATTGGTGCTATTTTCAGTCACTAAATGTGTCGTAATTTGTTACAGCAGCAGTGGGAGACTAACAGTACCTATAGTGCCTTCATAATTTATTCCATACTCTCTCATATCATTTTTTTAAGCCATAGGAATCCCTTCTTCTATTTCTCAAATGAATTGTCATCCAGTCTTGGTTTAAAAAACCGCAGTAATCAGGAGCCTTTTTCCTACTGAGTCTCTCATTGCTTGATGGACTCACTAGAATCCTTAGACCGTAGGCAATCAGAACAAAGTGAAAAAGCCTTAGTCTAGCAAGTTTTACATTAGATTATCCCATTGTCTTTGAAAGCAGGGATCTTGCCTTGTTTTCCCACAGTATTGGGTGCTCCCACAGAGACATGAGAGAGTGGGGATGGGAGAAAGTCATGAATGATACCATTGCTGTATACAGGAAATGCTTAGCAGACTATCTGAAAGTGCACTTTAGTATATAGTCCTGTTTAATGCTCACAGCAACTTTATCTTACAGATGAAAAAATAAGGCTCAGCAAAGGTAATTGACTTCCCTGAGTTTACATAGCTAGTAAGTACTAAAGTGAGAACTCGAACTTAAGTCCTCTGACTTCAAATGAATGCAATGAAACAAACATTTACGAATACTGATTCTGTGCCAGATTTTTTACATATGTGAATTAATCCCCACTGGAGAGCCTATAAGAATAAACTAATTTGGTTCATCTTTGCAGGTGAAGAGATTCAGGTTCAGAGAGTTTGAGTAACTACCCAAGGTTACCCAAGCTTACAAAGCTTAAATTAAAACACTAATCTGACTCCAGTTCTCTTTTCACAATATCATACAGTATTATGTGGCTATTAGTGTTATTAAGAATATTTGGGCCAGGTATGGTGACTCACCTATAATCCCAGTACATTGGGAAGCCAAGGTGGGAGGATCGCTTGAGCCCAGGAGTTCAAGACCAGGTTGGGCAATATGGCAAAACCCTGTCTCTACTGAAAATACAAAAATTATCCAGGTATAGTGGCACATGCCTGTAGTCACAGCTACTCAAGAAGCTGGGGTGGGAGGTTCTCTTGAGCCTGGGAGTCAAGGCTACAGTGAGCAGTGATCTCACCACTGCACTCCAGCCTGAGTGACAGAGTGAGACCCTATTTAAAAAAAAGTGTGTGTATGTATGTGTGTGTGTGTGTGTATGTGTGTGTGTGTGTGTGTGTGTATGTATATATATATATATATATATGGCGTATTTGCTAGTAGCAGAGAATGCATTTACAGATTTCCTTTTTCAATTTTTTAAAATAATGACATCATCATCATTATAAGGTATGTAAAGCAGGCTAGACAGCTCCTTTGTTTTAATGAGGGGAAACCAAAAGCACGGTAACAAGAAAGTTAAATGACCTGCACACAATACTACAGCAATCAGAATGATGCAGTGGGCCAGTGAAAAGCAAAGGATAATGTCTGTATTCAAAAGGCCAAAGGTGTCTCTGCTCCCCTCCTATCAGGCATAAGAAAGGGTGATTCTTGAGGGGAAGGAGTTTGGGATGTGCCCAACTCAATCTGTCACCAAACCAGACCACCTAGAACACCCTAGACTGGACCTGATTCCCAAGGCCTACCCGTTTTTTTGTTTTGTTTTGTTTTGTTTTTGGTCTGGTCTGGTTTTGTGTTTCGGAGTTGAGGATGAGAAGAACCTAAGGCATTCGTGGGGACTTTGGCTTCATGGTAATGTAATATCTTCCTTTTCTCTAGACTTCTATTCAAGGATTGCTGATCACGAAGGACACTCTGGTTCTTTCGCTTTTTAAGAAATAATGCAGAGATTAATTACTTGGATAATTAGTTTCAACATATCTGGTCTATGTTAGTAGCAAACTATTATACTGACAGGAAAATGAACTTTTATCTCCTGTATGAGTTACTTTGCTAAATTAAAGGCATCTCGCATGATTTAAATAGAGCCAAAAAAATAGCATGCAACCTTACTGTTAGGAGCATATTAAAATAGTGCAGAGTAGACCATGTAATTTCTTTAAAATTGCCAGTTGAGTCCTTGTTAGCATCTTTTTCTTTTGTCTGAGTAGTAAATTACTGATGAGTCCCATTTATTCTGCAATCACATTTCACATGCTCAAAGTTCAGTGCTATAGTCTACTTATGGATTTGTTATTACTATTAATCTAAATTAGGTTTGTTTTCCTCCTTAGTTAGCTGTAAGTTTATGGTGAGATTGGTATTTCTTAGACAAACTACATGTTAATGTCTGTTGTTTCTCAGCCTGTTGGATGACCCTGCATTAAAATTATGATGCTAGCCAGGCACAGTGGCTCACGTTTGTAATCCTAGCACTTTGAGAGGCCAAGGCAGGCAGACTGCTTGAGCCCAGGAGTTTAACACCAGCCTGAGCAGCATGACAAAACCCCATCTCTACTACAAATACCAAAAAATAACCCGGCGTGGGGGTGCGTGCCCGTAGTCCCGGCTGCTTGGGAGGCTGAAGTGGAGAATCACTTGAGCCCAGGGAGGTTGAGGCTGCAGTAAGCCATGATCACACCACTGCACTCCACCCTGGGTGACAGAGCGAGACACTGTCTCCAAAAATAAAATAAAATTATGGGCCAGGCCTGATGGCTCACACCTGTAATCCCAGAACTTTGGGAGGCTGAGGCAGCAGGATCACTTGAGGTCAGGAGTTCGAGACCAGCCTGGCCAACAAGGCGAAACCTCATCTCTACTAAAAATAAAAAATTAGCCAAGTATGATGGTGGTGTGCCTGTACAGGAGAATCGCTTGAACCCAGAAGGCAGAGGTTGCAGTGAGCTGAGATTGTGCCACTACACTCCAGCCTGGGCAACAGAGTGAGACTCCGTCTAAAAAAAAAAAAAACAAACAAACAAATTATGATGCTTTGTTTGCCATTAGCAGCATTTGGTTAACATTTGCAGTAGTAGTGCACCTGTGGTCCACATACTGATTGATATATGCTAAGATCCTAAAGGGTACATTCATTCTGAGAGCTGTCTCTTTTGGGAAGAGAAATCCATTTCAGAGGAATGAAGGCTTTGAAATGTAAATGCAACCATATTCTTTGTTAAGTCTAGGAGAAGCCCAAACATTTGAAGCCCAGAGAAAACAACTGCAGAGGGAGGGGCTAATGACCTATCTGCTAAGCTGAATTTGGCTTGGGAACCTGGATCATGAGAGGTTCCTAAGCCAGTTTACAAGACAAAGTGAACTGTAGTGTCACCAAGATACTCTGTGACTTGCAGGTCCTAGGGTTTTCAGCGTTTATAGATTACAAAAGGACATTGTATGGGTTTAAGCAAAAACAAGCCACTTGAAAAGCATTACTTTATTTTCCTCTTTTTTTAAAAAAATATTTATTCATTCCTTAAATGTTTGGGGGGCAATAAACTTTGCATACTTGGCTGGTTGTGTAGGTATTCATTGCCACCTTGATAAATGTTGAAAGTGCCATCTGATTCTTATTGGGCATTTGGTGTGCCTGATGAAATGCTTCAGTGGCATACTTTTAATATATTTTAATAGGATGCTATAGGTATGTTACATTTTTTCTTAACATAATTCTCAGTATGTTAGGAAATTGATATCAGAATATAAATATATCAAAATATTAAGTGTTTGTCTCTGGATTGTAGTAAAACAGTTGGATTTTGGGGTTTTTTTCTTTATATTTTATGTATTTTCCACGTTTTATACTATATTACATTTTTTAATGATTATATTATTATATATTTATTATATATATATTTAATGATTATATATATAGATATATATTTATATATATTTATATATTTATATATATATTTATATATATAAATATATTTAATGATTATATATATAGATATATATATAGATATATATATATAGAGAGAGAGAGAGAGAGAGAGAGAGACAGGGCCTTGTTCTGTCACCCAGGCTGGAGTGCAGGGGCATGATCATAGCTCACTGTAACCTCAAATTCCTGGGCTCAAGTGATCTTCCTGCCTCAGCCTCCCGAGTAGCTAGGACTACAGGAGTGCATCACTATACTCAGCTAATTTTTTGTAGAGGCAGGGTCTCACTATGTTGCCAAGGCTGAAAAAAAATTTTTAAACACAGAATTTGGCAGTATAAAATATAAAATTGGCTGGGCGTGGTGGCTCACGCGTGTAATCCCAGCACTTTGGGAGGCTGAGGTGGGCGGATCACAAGGTCAGGAGTTCACGATCAGCTTTGGCAACTTGGTGAAACCCCGTCTCTACTAAAAATACAAAAATTAACTGGGCGTGTTGGCTTGTGTTTGTAATCCCAGCTACTTGGGAGGCTGAGGTAGGAGAATCTCTTGAACCCGGGAGGCAGAGGTTGCAGTGAGCCGAGATGGTGCCACTGCACTCCAGCCTGGGTGACAAAGCAAGACTCTGTCTCAATAAATAAATAAATAAATAAATAAATAAATAAATAAATAAAATATAAAGTTGCAGTATCTAACAGCAAATTTTACTCTCATATTTATTTCCGGACTTAGACCACTTGGGAGAAGATCATAGTACTGCAGAGCCGAGGAAATTCCATCCCCTTCCTTCAAATCCCCTCTAATGGCAATTCTGATAATTTTCCCAAGTTCTGTTATTCTTTATACTTACCAGCACTGTAGCAGTGGGAAAATTCACAGCTGAACAACTTCTCTTCCACAGTTCATCCAATATTAACCATTTAAGCATAATTCTTGCATAATTTCCCCATTGTTCAACTTTTTAGGAGTTAGTGGTAGTTATCTCTAAGGCTACCTTGGAGTATATTGACAACTAAATATATTTTCCTTTTGTTTCTTAAGTGCTTTCAACTTTCAGTTGAGAGTATAATTGCTTTATGGTACTCACTGGAGAGCTTTAAACATGATTAGCATATGCTTGGAAATGTTAATAAAAACATTTAATAAATTTTTGCAATTTGCCTCAAGAGTGATAAGACAGTGGGAAGTCTTGCAGTACAAGAATTGATGAAGCCCCTGATATTATATATGAATTCATCGAAAGGGAACAATATGTTGGAGTTCATTTTTGTTGTAGCTGAGTGAGCTAGTGCCAGTGAGAAGGTGAGGAATCAAAAGCGAGAAGCCCCATCACATTGTCTTAATTAGCCTTCTAACAAAACAATTATTTCCTTCTGATCAGTCTTAACAGACAATAGCCACTTGATTGTAGTAGAATTGGTACACGTATGCCCATTTGTTCCCATCCAAGCTGTTTAATTAACTATAATTTAGTGTGGTTTATGTATATGTCAGAGCACTAGATACCACGCTAAGAGATCATAATTTTCACAGCCAAACAAGGCACAAATCTAGTGCACCTTTTCCCAATTTATCTGCAAATTTTCCCTCTTCCAAATTCTAGTTAAATGAATTCTGTTTGGCTTTTTAAGTTTTCACAATGTTTATTCCTATAAGTAATTCTGACAGTTTCTTCTCCTTTATATCATGTTCTGATTATAGAAAGAATACTTGAATTTTTTTTTCTTTTTAATAAAGATGGGGTCTCGCTATGTTGCCGAGGCTGGTCGCAAATTCTCCCACCTTGGCCTCCCAACCTGCTGGGATTATAGGCCTGAGCCGCTGCACCCGGCCAGAAATAGTTGATTTTTTAAGGATATTTTGGAATTAGAGGAAGAAAATAGATCACTTATAATCCTCTCACACAGAACAACAATATTTATTAATATTTTGATGTACTTATTTCTCGTATTTTTTCTAAGCTTATACATAGGTTTTCTTCTACAAAATTGGTGTTACATTATATATAGTCTGTATTTTTTCTTTTCTCTTTCAGAATTACGAGCATTTCCTACATCTTAAAATTTTCATGAATATGATTTTTGTTGGTGCATTATATTAAATGGATATATGTAATAAGAATTTTCAGTGAGCATTTATGTGCATATCTTTTTTGCTGTCGATGTTATTTTTGAAGCTTAATATATATGTGCTTAGGACTTATCCCGAATTAATACTCTATATAAACTTTAAACCTCTAGTAATACCTTTACTTTTTTCATTTTTTGTGAATATCGCAATCTTTGAAAAGAAAGTGGTAGGAGAAACAGAAAGAGAAGAGAGAAAATGGAACTAGTGATAGGAGATAGCCATCAGGGCTGCAATAAATTGGGAGTTGTTACTAACCATCTGTGGCCTTGAATGAAGTTTGTAATACTAATGGCAAATTTGTAACAATTAAATAAAAATAACTTGATTTGCTCTTTAAAAAGCATGTTACTTGGCATTATCAAGAAAGTAAATGTCATCGCTGGCCACAGTGGCTCATGCCTGTAATTCTAGCACTTTGGGAGGCCAAGGCATGCGGATCACCTGAGGTCAGGAGTTCGAGACAAGCCTGGCCAAAATGGCAAAACCCTGTCTCTACTAAAAATACAAAAATTAGCTGGGCATGGTGGTACGCACCTGTAGTTCCAGCTACTCAGGAGGTGGAAGCAGGAGAACCACTTGAACCTGGGAGGCGGAGGTTGCAGTGAGCTGAGATCGTGCCACTGCACTCCAGCCTAGGTGACAAAGTGAGACAAAAAAAAAAAAGAAAAAAAGAAAGAAAAGAAAAGAAGCGAAAGGAAGAAAGAAAGAGAGAAAGAAAGAAAAGAATGTAAATGTCTATTATTAATACCTTGACACTAAGAAAAATCCTGCTTTAGGTATTTCTTTGCTATCTATTATCAATCTTCTCTCCTCTTATTCTGTATCTTCCTAAAGCCATGGGAATAAAGAAGAATTCTCCTGCAGAGGAATACAACTTGCGGTGGATTGGTTTCTAGATAAAGGCCATAAAGATATTACTGTATTTGTGCCTGCGTGGAGAAAGGAGCAATCCCGCCCTGATGCACCAATTACAGGTACTATGTCAAATAAGGTATTTCTTCTCATCTAGAGGCAAATCTGGAAAGATAGTTTCGGGATGGTCCCAATTTAGATATTTATTTTTCAAAGTTGTTAAGTATATTTAAAGTATTTGTATTAAGTGTATATTTGAAAAAAGATTCAAAGAAAGCCATCATTATTTTGTAGCATCTGACAGTTAAATAAAGAAAACTTCAATTCAGCAAAAGATAAAGCACATAGTTTTTTTAAAAAAGGAGTGCTTTTCTATTTGACCATAGACTTCAGACTAAAAGGAGATGAATCTGGTTATGAGCATGACTAAGTTTTCAAGAGAGTAAAAACACCATGGTGGACAATGGATCTCATTCTGTACCAAAGAAGTGATTGTGGGGTTTGCAAATTAGGGAATAAAAGAGAGAGAGAGAAAAGTCCCACAGCAGTCAGAGCCAACTTATCCATGAGACACAGTAGGTCTGGCACCTAGGGCGAATGATATTGTTAAGGTCCCATGGAAATGTCTTAATTTTACTTTCTTCTCACATCAGAAGAAAAAATTGAATATAATAGCAATGCATGTAAAATGATGTATCTAGCTGGGTTATCCTTGGCTTTATACCAAAGCAATTGAAAATGAAATTTTTAATATTTATATTTGTTTGAGACAGGGTCTCACTCTGTCACCTAGGCTAGAATGCCATGGTGTGATCATGGCTCACTGCAGCCTCTACCTCCCTGGGCTCAGGTTTTTCTCCCACCTCAGCCTCCTGAGTAGCTGGGACTACAGGTGTGTACCACCATGCCTGGCTAATTTTTGTATTTTTAGTAGAGATTGAGTTTTGCCATGTTGCCCAAGCTGGTCTTGAACTCCTGGGCTCAAGCTATCTGCCCACCTCAACCTCCCAAAGTGCTAGGATTACAGGCATGAGCCACCATGGCCAGCCAATATTTAACATTTCTTATGGAGGAAGAGGTCCAGGAAAGCAAAAATGCCTAAGGTTTTCAAAAGTCATGATGCAATCCTAATGGCAGAGGGGTCTCTACATTCATTTACAACAGTCTTCTGAGCATCAGCTGTTGCCTGATGTGCCTAATGAGAAAGTCCCATGAATGACTGTCTGAGCTGTGTGTGAAGCTATTTGCCATCTGCTGAACAGGCTCTTGAGCCTCCATCTGAGAATAGATCCTAGCCCTGCTCGAGCCCAGCCAGCAAGCTTTCTTGCCTCAGCAACTAATAGACCAAAAGGAAAGGGGATCAGCACTCAGTTGCTATATCTTGATGTTTCACCCTAGTTTTGGCCTTCCCTCAGGCAGAAGCCAAAAATGTAAGTCCCTAGGAGAGATGCTTTAGTTTCCTCCTGGCAGACACATCCTCAGTACTTCCGTTAGAAATCAACAACCAAAAAGCTGGTGCTTTGGCCAAAGGGCAAAACAAGCATCAAGAATGCTAAGATATCAGTGTCACTCTCACTCTCCATGTAGTTTTTAAAACTTAGATGTCATTGAATCCAGTTCCTTCATTTTATCATAAAGAAGACTGAAGTCCAAAGGGGAAGATGACTTGCCTAAGGTCATAATCCAGATTGATATCATAGCCAGGAACAGGGCCTACTTTCCCTCTAAGGGTAAATAATATCTTCATCCAGTACCAACTTTTGCATTTTTAATATTGGGGTAATACTGTTAATTTCCAAAGATGATTTCTGCTCTGTGGCATATAATCATATTTTGACAGATCAAGATATTCTACGAAAACTGGAGAAGGAAAAGATTCTCGTCTTCACACCATCCCGAAGAGTCCAAGGCAGGAGGGTTGTCTGCTATGATGACCGGTTCATAGTCAAACTGGCTTTTGATTCTGATGGCATCATTGTGTCCAATGATAACTACCGAGACCTTCAAGTTGAAAAGCCAGAATGGAAGAAGTTTATAGAGGAGCGGTTGCTGATGTATTCTTTTGTGAATGACAAGTGCGTTTCTTTCCAGTAGGCCTATATTCAAGTTATCAGTAGGAATAGATTTTACTTTAATAAACATTTACCAAACACTTACTGTGTATCATACATTTTGCTAGTTGCCACAGACATAAAAGGATGAATAAGGAAGAGGACTCACCCTTAAGGGACTCAAAGTGTAGTAGAGGAGTGAAAGAGACAACCACAGTGTTTTGTTGTAAGAGCTACAGTTAAAAGTTTTAAAATTGCTTTGTCTATGTGAAGTAATAGAAAAAGGCATCCCAGAGGAGATGACATTTCAGATCAAGTTTACAGATGGAGGAAAGGGGGCTGCTAGGCATGAGAGGTGAGAGGGACATCATGAATAAAGTTATGAAGGTGTGAAAGTGGGTAGCATGTTGGTGGAACCAGCAGACATGCCAGTATGGCTCGAACATGTAGTTGATGGAAGAATGATGAACAGGGAAAATCATCCTTTCTATGTGATAAAGTGGCAACAAAGGGAAGAACTGCTAGATTAGCAGAGGATAGACTTGAGGCACGAAGGGCAATTAGAAGGCTGTGACAACGGTACAGGCAAGAGGTAATGAAAATCTGAACTCCTAGTAAGCAGTGGGGGACAGAAAGGAAGACAGTCACCTCTTGCTTACTTGCTTTCAGATTTATGCCTCCAGATGATCCATTAGGACGCCATGGCCCAAGCCTTGAAAATTTCTTAAGAAAGAGACCCATTGTTCCTGAGCATAAGAAGCAACCATGTCCTTACGGTGAGTACCTATGTACAAAACTGAGTTCTGTACCACCAGAAACATAAGGATTCTTCTGTGAATACTTTTCTCTTCCAGGTTTCCCTTTCAAATGGGAAATCTTGGCTTGTCCACTGTCTTTGAGTTAAAGTTTGTGTCTTCATGTACACCGTTAGGTATTTAAAGAAAAATTTTAGAAACTGAATGAGGAAAAGGTAGCTAAAATTGAAGGGAAGATCAGTTGTCACTTGTGACAATAGCACATGTGCTCTAGCTGCCTAAGTCCTGAACTATGTTGCTGGGAGCAGAGAAATGAAGAAACCTATATGGCCTGTGGAAGCAGAAAGGGCAATACTGAACTGAGTTTGGCCCCCAGATGAACCTGTGTCTCAGGCAGGTGACTGCACCCTCTGTCAATTAATGCTAACCTTTCCTTTAGATCTGTCCTTTCCAGTTTTTTTGTTTGTTTGTTCGTTTTGAGACAGTCTCGCTCTGTCACCTAGGCTGCAGTGCAGTGGTGCAGTCTTGGCTCACTGCAACCTCCGCCTCCCAGGTTAAAGCGATTCTCCTGCCTCAGCCTCCCCAGTAGCTGGGATTACAGGTGCACGATGCCAAGCCCAGCTAATTTTTATATTTTTAGTAGAGACGGGGGTTTCACCATGTTGGCCAAGCTGGTCTCAAACTCCTGACTTCAAGTGATCCATCCACCTCGGCCTCTGAAAGTGCTGAGATTACAGGCATGACGCACCCAGCCCCTTTCCAGTTTTCTTTTTTTTTTCTTTTTTTAATAAATATACTTTTCTAGAGTGTTTTCATGCTCTTATCTCAGTCCCTCTGATACAAGGTTTGTGCGCCTGACATTGTGACAGGGCTGCTTGATCTGAGGCTACTTTGAATGTCTGTTTTTTTGGATGATCATTTGTTTTGTGGGTTGTTTTGGTTTTTGTCCTCAATTAACATTTAAGTCACAGAGTACCTTCATATTCATTATCTCATTTAATCTTTACAATGACCCTATAATATAGGCATGATGATGAACTTTGTTTACAGAAGAGGAAAATGAGGCTCACAAAATGAAGTCACTTACCAAGGTCACACAGCTAGTAAGGGACGTAGCTGGAATTGAAATTCAGATCTGACTGGACTCCAAACCTGTGCTCTTTGCACTGCACTGTGCTGCTTTCTGTTACTCTATGCTGCTTCAGCATGCAAATTATGCCTAGGCAAAGTTGTACATTATCGAAAACTTAAAACTGCTCAACTGCTCAGCTTTAGCTTTTTTTTTTTTTTTTTTCTGAGACAGGGTCTTGCTCTGTCACCTGGGCTGGAGAGCAGTGGCATGATCATGGCTCACTGCAGCCTTGACCTTCCAGGCTCAAGAATTCTCCCACCGCAGCCTCCTGAGTAGCTGGGACTACAGACCTGCACCACCATGCCCAGCTAATTTTGTTTATATTTTTCTTTACAGATGGGGTTTCACAATGTTGCCCAAGTTGGTCTTGAACTCCTGGGCTAAAGTGATCCACCCACCACAGCCTCCCAAATTGCTAGGACTACGGACAGGAACCACTGCATCCAGCCAGCTATTAGCTTTTATGCTGCAATTTTCTCCATAGCTTTCCACTTTCTCTCTCCCATCACAGTGTGTGATGCCGCCTTGGTGTTGTCTGTCTCTCATCTTTGTGGACAGTTAATTTTCTGCCTTTACCCCAAACAGTAAAACCCTAACCTGAGTGACCAGATTGTTACAACGGTTTCTGGCACGGAGGGTTCCATCACTGAGAGAGAGTCTTACCCCAAGGCATTATTTTTCAGGCAAAAAATGCACCTACGGCCACAAGTGCAAATACTACCATCCGGAGCGGGCCAACCAACCCCAGCGTTCGGTGGCTGATGAGCTCCGCATCAGTGCCAAACTGTCCACAGTGAAAACTATGAGTGAAGGCACCCTGGCCAAGTGTGGCACAGGGATGTCTAGTGCCAAAGGTGAGATAACCTCAGAGGTCAAACGTGTGGCCCCCAAGCGCCAATCAGATCCCAGCATCCGGTCTGTGGCTGTGGAGCCTGAGGAATGGCTGTCCATTGCCCGTAAGCCTGAGGCTAGTTCTGTCCCCTCGCTTGTGACTGCCCTAAGTGTTCCCACAATCCCACCCCCAAAAAGCCATGCAGTGGGTGCACTCAACACCCGTTCGGCCAGCAGCCCAGTGCCAGGATCCTCCCATTTCCCCCACCAGAAGGCCTCTTTGGAGCATATGGCCAGCATGCAGTATCCTCCCATCCTGGTTACCAACAGCCATGGGACCCCTATTAGCTATGCTGAGCAATACCCAAAGTTTGAATCCATGGGGGACCATGGCTACTATTCAATGTTAGGTGACTTCTCCAAACTGAACATCAACAGCATGCATAATCGAGAGTATTACATGGCTGAAGTAGACCGGGGGGTGTATGCCCGGAATCCTAATCTCTGTCCTGACAGCCGTGTGAGCCATACCAGGAATGACAACTATTCCTCTTACAACAACGTGTATTTGGCTGTAGCTGATACCCATCCTGAAGGCAATTTGAAGCTGCACCGCTCAGCATCCCAGAACCGACTTCAGCCTTTTCCTCATGGTTACCATGAAGCCTTAACACGAGTGCAGAGCTATGGCCCAGAGGATTCTAAGCAAGGCCCCCACAAACAGTCAGTCCCCCACGTAGCTCTGCATGCCCAGCACCCAGCAACTGGAACACGTTCCAGCTGTCCTGCAGACTACCCCATGCCTCCCAATATCCATCCTGGGGCAACCCCCCAGCCAGGCCGTGCCCTGGTGATGACTCGGATGGATAGCATTTCTGACTCCCGCCTCTATGAGAGCAACCCCGTGAGGCAAAGACGACCTCCCCTGTGCCGGGAACAGCATGCCAGCTGGGACCCGCTGCCCTGTGCAACTGACTCCTATGGCTACCACTCCTATCCCTTGAGTAACAGCCTCATGCAACCATGTTATGAGCCAGTCATGGTACGGAGCGTGCCTGAAAAGATGGAGCAGCTTTGGAGGAATCCTTGGGTTGGAATGTGCAATGATTCCAGGGAGCATATGATCCCAGAGCACCAGTATCAGACCTACAAGAACCTCTGCAATATTTTCCCTTCTAACATCGTCCTTGCGGTGATGGAGAAGAATCCCCACACAGCAGATGCCCAGCAACTGGCAGCCTTGATTGTTGCTAAGCTTAGGGCTGCACGTTGATATGACATAGTACTTATTTCTTTATACAAATATGAATATTAATACTAACAATACACTAACACAATAATTATAGTAACTAATAATTTGTGTTGCGCTTTACAAGTTACAGAGTGTTTATATCATTTAAGCGCATAACAACCCTGTGAGGTACGTCTTACTAACATCCTCTTTTATAGAGAAGGAAGGTGAAGCTCAGTGAAATTAAGTGGCTAGCCAGGGTCACACTGCTAGCAAATGACTAAGTCAAGACACACACCCAAGTCCTCTAAATCCAAGTCCTATGCCCCTTTGCACTGCACCATGCAGGTAATGGAGGACAAAACCCAGGGGGAGAGGTCTAGACATAAGAAACCCCAGAGGATTCCATTACCAGAGTTTTCCTTTTTTTTTGTTTTTTTTGTTTTTTTTGTTTTTTTTTTTGAGACAAAGTCTTACTCTGTTACACAGGCTGGAGTGGCACTATCTCTGCTCACTGCAACCTCCGCCTCCAGGGTTCAAGCGATTCTATGACCTCAGCCTCCCAGGTAGCTGGGATTACAGGCGTGCACCACCATGCCCGGCTAATTTTTGTATTTTTAGTAGAGACGGGGTTTCACCATGTCGGCCAGGCTGGTCTCAAACTCCTGGCCTCAAGTGATCCACCCGCCTCGGCCTCCTAAAGTGCTGGGATTAGAGGTGTGAGCCACCGCGCCCAGCCTACCAGAGTTTTCATAGTCACATATTCTATATTACAAAGTATGGATGATATATCCAATTTAGAGAGCAAAAGCATCAGGATCAGATCATATGTTGAATTAACCTTTTAGGTTTTTTCTAATAGAAATATTTAAAACTATTTAAAAGTAAATGCATACTTTATTGCATGGATATCTGATCATTCAATCTTTATTAACGAAGCTATAGGGTCACATTGAAGCTTCTAGAACTATATTTTAAATCTATTATTAGCAATTATATTGCATGTATGAATATATATATTTGGTTTGAGATGTGTGTGTATCTCTGTATAACCTTTTATATAGTGATAATGAGAGGGTAGGCTCTACACAGTCCTTCGTCTATAGCTGTATAGGTCACTAATCTGACTTGATGATTTTAAGTCACATTTCATAGTTTCAACTAGTTATGAGAGTGAAAATTATATGGCAATATTTGAACATTGTTTTCTTAGGCACCAGAGCAAAGCAGCTCTGTTTCCTTTGCACATTTTACCTGCCAACATTTATTAACAGTTCTTAGCTTCCAAGTCTCTTCACCTTAGCAAATCAGGGATCAGGTTGCAGTCTTCTGCAGAGGAACTGATGGTTAAGCTCAAGTTCCAAGCATAGTATGTGTGTGCTACACAAGCTCAGAAGAGTTTGACAAGGACCAGGGGACTTACTACCACAATCCACTTCCCTTATCCCAGGAGAGATGGCCAAACACATGTGGCATTAAATGGTGAATAAAAAAGCTCCACTCAAGGAGGGACTATTGGATGCTCTTTGGACTTCCAACCTATGCAGTATTCAACATCACTGGATGAAATGTAATGGAGGACAGTGCACAGCCATGTATCCACTTTCTCTTCCTGTCCACCCTTTGGGTAATAAGGTCAATCATTGGTGGAACAGAATTTCTCTAGGAAACAAAACCAGGGGATTTTCTATGTGGAAAAAGGAAGTTTCCAAAAGGGGATACTGCATCTTTACTAATAGCTGGCTCAGTTATGCACTTTAAATCCACGCAAAGAGAGTGCACTTGCTGTTAAATAATTGTTAGATGAGTTACTAGAAGGCAGGACTTTCAGTTTGGGCGACACCATTTGTGCAACTTGTATCTTGCTCAGGGTGGAAAACTTCATAGCTAAATGCCTCTAGAAGAGGTGTTTATTGTTTTTTTTAAGCTGCACTAAATGAATTCCCTTTTTGAATCCACTGTATATTTCAATATTTCGAACCATGACCAGCTCACTATTTCCTGAGCTGGAACTTGCTAACTTCTATGATCGTTTTTTCATGAAAGTTGAGAAGGCCGGGCCTTGGCCTTTTGTTTCTTCATGAGAAGGTGTGACACTGCCTATAAATGTTTCTTACTGTGAAACACTCTGAATGTGAGGCTGTAGTCAGGGTTGTTTCTGGTGGTTTGATAATGGCTTGCATGCTGCTTTCTGGCTTTCTGTCTCTGTCCAAGTTGATCAATACTGCATCTTAACCAATGTTTCACTTCAGTTAACCACAGCTTTACATTCTATCTCCTATCCTCTGATCTTCGTATACCCCAGCATATTGAAAAAGAGTAAAAGTATTTTCTATCAGGTAGGTCCACAGAGTGACAGTTGCCACTGCAGTGCTTGCTATTTCACACAAACACCATTTCATACCTTCAACTTCTTGGACTTTCTAAATTGGACCTGTGTCTAAATCAGGGTATTTGACAATCTCAGATGATGCTACTGCCTATGTGCCAGTTAGTTCATCTTCCTACCAAAATCATCAATGGCACCACAGTATCCACGAGCTGTACAATTTACAGGGAAGCACAAGATTAATCTTGTCACCTATAATTCGTCTTGAACATGTTCATATTTAGTACTCAGAAAACGTGTAAGCTCCTCCCAATACAGAAAATTCTTTTAAGGCAGCATATGTATTTCTGATTTACTAAAAATGATTGTCATCCTCCTCTCATTCTTCTTTTTGGTATGAACCAAAAGCGGCTAGGAGCAATGCCTCAAATAACCAGAAATGACCTTTTGTTGATACAAATTGTATCTCTTTTTTTCCTGATTGTATAGAAACAAATGTACAAAACTCATCTTAAGCTAGGTTTGGCACTGAATTTTCACCATGAGGTTTGTGGCACTGTGTGTCACAGGGAAGTAGCTCAGGGGTTGTGAGGGAGCTTTTATTTCTAAAGGGCAGTAGTAATTTATAGACAAAAACAATTTTTCAAGGCCTCTTTATTACCAGTGCACAGTTATCACGTGTACAATTTCAAGCATTATATTGCATAAGTTCTCTTTAGCCTATTAAATTTAATATGTCCTTGAAAAAGGGATTTTGTGTAAAAAGTGTCAGTGTTAGTGACTCATCTGCAAGAATCTATAAATGGAGTTATACAAATATGAATACATAAATACAGCATGGTTCTTAGTTATTAGAGAAACATTTTCTTTATATTGAGGTCTAGGCACTTCTTGACTTTCCATTTTGTCTGTAATTATAAAACAGCAAGTAACAAAGAAGCATTGGGACCCCCTCGGCTGCCTTGATAATAAAATCAAGCTTCCTTCATGGGGCTAAGCATGTGTCCTTCAGGATACTTACCTATAAGCGCTCAGCAGGGGTTACTACAAAGCGTTTTGTGTGGTTTTCAAGAAACAGTGTGTTTTGCAAGAGGTGCTTTGTAATTTTAATTATTTCACTGATTTTCTGACCTCATAGCAAGTCTGTGCCTGTTGAGGCCTTCAATTTTGTAGCTTTTCTGATTTTTTTTCTTCTTTTTGTGATTTTGTTGTTTTCATTTTGATCTAAAGGAGAAGTGTGACCCCGGAGTGGCATGGTCAATCCAGGGCACCCTTTCTGTAAGACAACTCAAAGGAAAAGAAGCCTTTTCAAAGGTAATATCGAGCCATTGCACTCTCTCTTAAGGTGCCAGGTATGGAAGGGAGAATGACAGATGCCTTACGGAAATGGTCTACGAAACTTTTCTTCTTCTAAGTAATAAAGCACATAGCATGATTCTCTCTCCCTCTCTCTCTCTCTCTCTCTCTCTCTCTCTGCCCACCTCCTGCTAGTTTCCAGGAGAATACTTCTCTAAAATTCATTTTTTTCTATTTTGGAATAAATTATCTTTATACAGTAATTCAAACACTGATTTCCATTAACCTTTGGCCCTGAGTTTTCTTCTAACATAGAAGAATTCATTTTGAGAGGCACTCAGTTACCATTCTATCTGTGCTGTAAGTATGGGACTTTGTACAAATGCCCTTTTTGAGGGCCAAAAATTTCAATACACTTTGTTCTACTTTGTGAACCAGGTCTGGATCTGCACAGAGAAAGTAATGCTGAGCTGTCGAGTCCGCTCAGGTCTCCCTCCTAACCCTCCTCTGCCTTCCCCTAGTTTGTTTATCCTCAGGTCTGACACTGAGGAGTGCGTAGTCTTCAACTGAAATGGCACTATAGTTAGTTCTCATTGGAAACAAACAAGTGTATTTCTGGAACCTGCTTGTCTAAAATAGTCAATGCCTTTGTAAAGACAGCATATTCAATATCTATTGTATGGTAGCTAGCTATATACATAGATTGACTATTTTTAGTCCTGGTTTGTGTATTGTTGAGCTATAGTAGTTTGCTTTATCCATTTGTGGGATTAAACAATACTGTTTATTGGTTGTAAACTTTTATAAAACCTCTTTGGGTTTTTTGTTTGACCCAAATATAATGTAAGTCTCAATGACAAAATACACAAAGTTAACCAGAGGTGAGTGAAAATATAGCCCTTCCCCAGTTTTGTCTGCCCCTATAATGCACGTGCATTGCTTTGTAATATGCTCTCACTAGCATGAATGTGCTATGACTACTTCATGAGGTTTTAATTTGTTTCACCTATCATTGTGATGGAAAATGCTGTATCGCTGACAACAATGAACTGTAACCAGTTATTTACTGCATAAACTATTTGTCTACTGACCACTCATGGCTCTGTTTATTTAAGAATACCAACAACAATGGGCCGGGCGTGGTGTCTCATACCTGTAATCTCAGCACTTTGGGAGGCAAAGCAGGAGGATCACCTGAGGTCAGGAGTTCTAGACCAGCCTGGCCAACATGGCGAAACCCCGTCTCTACTAAAAATACAAAAATTAGCCGGGTGTGGTGGCACGCACCTGTAATCCCAGCTACTCGGGAAGCTGAGGCAGGAGAACCGCTTGAACCCAGGAGTTGGAGGTTGCAGTAAGCCGAGATTGTGCTACTGCACTCCAGCCTGGGCGACAGAGACTCCATCTCAAAAAACAAAACAAACAAAAAACAAAAAACAAACAAAAACCAACAACAACAAAAGCCATACCACACATACATATACATATACTCTAGTTTGCTCCTAAAGTATTAGATTTATGTCCTTGCGACTTATATTGGGATAAACCATAAAGCCAGGGATTTCCCCAAATGTGTTCATCTGAATTTTACCACAGTAAGTATATGTCCTCAAATTTTTGAAGACTAACAGTTCCAAGTGCTAATCGAACTGGCGTTCCCTGCAGGGCAGGGCTGGGCCTGCTTTTGCCCACCAGTCAGAGCCAAGTGGTGGGCCCAGGGCCCAGACATAATTTTTGTATGCAGCCTATAGTTTCTCCCCTGAATAGCCTCAGGGCCAAAGATACATCATCTGCTGTCTCAGCCAGAATATCAGAGCCAAAAGGTGCCTCCTATCCTTCACTTCACACTCAGAGTGCTCAGCTGCATCAACCCCTTCAGGGTATAGTACATGAACTGAGGCTCCAAGAGCACTGAAGAGATTTGACCAAGACTGAACAGAATTAGTGGCAAAGGCAGGACTGGAAGCCCAGGCCTCATGACTCCCAGGCCAGTAAGCCCTTTATCATAGTGGAGTTGATTCTCTCTCTGGAGCCTCCTACCTACCCTCCACCGCACTCCAGGCCAGTCTCATTCTAAAGGTAGACGTAGCTATGATGGTTGCAGCAGAGCCCAGCCTACAAGCCTTTGGAAGAGGCTATTTGTGAATCTGAGAATCATTTTTTTGTTATCATCCTCCATGGGACTAAGAGTGCTCGTCTCTCCCCACCTTTTTCCTCTTCTGTCTCTTACTCTTCCTGTCACATTCCTCGGGCATACACGTATCAAGTTCTTACTGAGTACCGGATGGGGGGGTCTGGCCTATACTAAGCTAGGCAGACAGAAGAGGAACAGTCCATCTTGGGGAACTTGCACTCTAGTGGGAGAATGAAGCACACTCAAGAGAATAGAGTAAGAAATTAAGTTGGAGGGCAGTGGCAGCATGAGGGTAAGTAGAGTGGTAAGAACTACTAGAATTCCAAAAAGGGACAATCAACAAATGTCCAGTTGTTCTGCCCTAATCTCAGGTGGAAAATGAACTAGTCTGGTCATATCCCTCTCCACCTCCCCTCGGGCCTCATGTAATACCAAGTCCTTCACATCACCATGTTCCAATTATCCTGTACCCTGCACTTGTGCCCCCAACCATGCTTTCTCAACCTCTCCAGACTTTGACCTTCCTTCTACTCCTTGTTCTGACTAGTACTCTTGCCTTTAAAGATCCAGTGGCAATGTCCAACCTCCTGGTCAAGCCATTGTTAGTCCCTCCCCACAGTGGGCCTTGCAGGAATATTGAGCAATACCTCTTAGCTCTTGTCACTCACTTTGGCACACCGTCTCTACCACAAAACAGGGAGTTCCTTGGGCACGGGAACCATGTTATTTGCCACTGATGAATTACCTATCAGAGGGGACTCTCTGAATTACTGTTGTTGAATAATAATATAATCTATGCTCCCTTTCCTTGACCCCTATCCTTGTTTCCCAGTTAAATGTATGCATTTCAGGCTGGGCACAGTGGCTCACACCTATAATCCCAGCACTCTGGAGACTGAGACAGGAAAATCACTTAAGGCCAGGAGTTTGAGGCCAGGAGTTTGAGACCAGCCTGAGCAACATAGGAAGACCCCCATCTCTACAAAAAATTCAAAAATTAGCCAGGTGTCATGGTGCACACCTGTAGTCCCAGCTACTCAGAAGGCTGAGGTGGGAGGATTGCTTAAGCCCAGTAACTGGAGGCTGCAGTGGCCCATGATTGTGCCATTGCACTCAAGCCTGTGCAACACAGCAAGACCTTGTCTCCAAAAATAAAAACAAAAATGAAAATTGTGTGCAGTTCAGACTTTCTAATCAGTCTATCTCTAATCAGACAGAAAACATCCATGGGCACTAGGCTAAGTAAGGTTGCTTCCTGACAGCTCCACTCCCCACCCACCAACCCCTGCCGTCTGAAGCCCTTCAACCTGGCCTCAGAACTCCCAGGTTCCAGAAGGACACCAGCCAACAATGACCCTTGGCTCTTACTCTCTGGACCTGGACTAGAAATGAGCTCATATAGTCTGCTTCTCATCTTTAGATCAGTCTTTGAGGGCCAGGGGAAAGCATGACAATGGTTTATTTATATAGAGACCTCAGTCCCAATTTCAAGGTTTATCAACCCTGGCATGAACCTACACCACTCACACATACAAAGCATAATATGCTTTAGACACTTTCCCATCTATTGTGCTTCAATCCTTATAAGCATGTGAGGCAAATATTATCTCCCTGCAGGTGAAAAGAACTGTGGCATGATTTGTCCAAGGTTGCTCCTCTTAAGTGGTAGAGCTTGTCTGGAACCCAGGTCTTTGGCGAGCTTTTTCCTGTATACCAGTGCATCCGAAACCTCAGTGTGCATCAGAATCACTTCAAGGGCTTGCTAAACCAAAGATTGCTGTCCACTCTCACCCCTTCTGATTCGAGTCAGGAGTGGAGTCCAATAATTTGCATTTCTAACAAGTACCCAGGTGATGTTCACATTTGCTAGAGAACACTGATCTATGCCGACCTATTAACTTGCTCTGTGGCCTTAGACAAATCCCTTTTTTTTTCCTATCCCACTGTCTCAATGCATACAATGGAGCGGGGTGGGGGTGTAGACTAGAACTGTGACTTCCAGACCTTCTTTTTTTTTTTTTAAGCAGCAAAACCCATCTTTCTGGCCAGGTGCGGTGGCTCACGCCTGTAATCCCAACACTTTGGGAGGCCGAGGCGGGTGGATCACCTGAGGTCAAGGGTTTGAGACCAGCCTGGCCAACATGGCAAAACCCCATCTCTACTAAAAATACAAAAAACAATTCGCCGGCCTTGGTGACGGGCACCTGTAATCCCAGCTACTTGGGAGGCTGAGGCAGGAGAATCACTTGAACCCGGGAGGCAGAGATTGCAGTGAGCCGAGATCGTGCCATTGCACTCTAGTCTGGGCGACAGAGTGAGGCTGTCTCAAAACAAAACAAAAACAAAAACAAAAACATCTTTCCAAAGAAATCTTATATATGATTCCAATACATAAGAATCTGGTGAAGTGCTGGATGGGAACCCAGAGCTTGTGGCACCTATCTCCCCACAGAGCAGGCACTGGAGTACCTCCTGAAGTACACAACTGCAAATCTTCACTAGATGGAGCCTACATGTTTTTGTTTTTTAATTGAGACGGAGTCTCGCTCTGTCCCCCAGGCTGGAGTACAGTGGCGCGATCTTGGCTCACTGCAAGCTCCGCCTCCTGGGTTCATGCCATTCTTCTGTCTCAGCCTCCCGAGTAGCTAGGACTATAGGCGCCCGCCACCACACCCGGCTACTTTTTTTTTTTTTTTTGTATTTTTAGTAGAGACAGGGTTTCACCGTGTTCGCCAGGATGGTCTCGATCTCCTGACCTCGTGATCCGCCCGCCTCGGCCTCCCAAAGTGCTGGGATTACAGGCGTGAGCCACCGCGTCCAGCTGCCTATATGTTCTTTGAGAACGCTTCCAGCTCTGACATTCCAAGATGCCAACAGACTTCTAGCATTTGCCATCGTCAGGGGACAGGGGAGAGTTGGAAGGAAACTGATGCTGCACAAGACTGCTTTGCCCATGCCTATTGCTTGGATCATACACAGAAAAGATCTTAACACTGCTGGGCTGTTGAACTAATGGACCCCTTTGACAACTTGATAAAACCTGTGGACCAGCCCCTTAGAAAAATGATTATACACATACCCACAATGATACTCAGTATATCCTTTGAAGTGTTGTAGACACTCTAGGGGTCCTAATCCAAGTTAAAACTCTTGTCTGGGCTCTGGCACAGCACTTTTACCAAATTCCTCTTTGGCATTTTCTTAGTATAAGCCCTCTCCATCATTTCTTGGTGTGGCCATTTACAGAAATCCCTTAAGGCACCTAGCAGAGGCATCAGGTTATCATTTGGTGACTCTGTCCTTCCTCACCAGGCTGAAGGCTCTAAGGAATGAAAACATGGTTTATTCATCCCTATCTCTTGCTAGCTCAGGGCTGACATGGGGTAGGCACTCTAAGGTGAGGTGAGTTTCTGAGGGGATTTGGTGACCACAGAGAACAGTGGATCAGTCCCTAAGATATTTCTCTTGCTCTAATGCACACCACAAGGAAGCCCACTCTCATCTTTTCTAGGCCAAAAGAGTGCAGAAGTGACAAAGAAAATCTCTCCGCCTTTCAACTGCTGTTTCGTGTATAGTGTGAGCAGGTGTGGAGAACAGCAGGAAGCCTGTTGGGTAGCAGCAAGGCGGCCTGACTCTTCCCACTGTCAGGGAGGCTCTAAACAAACCACCTGGCCACTCGCTAGGCTCTGTAGCCAGCAGTGCCTCTGGGGCCTGATGCTTCCAAGTGAGCTGGCCTCATACTACAGCTGAGAACAGAAATGGTTCGAGGAGTCCGGAATAAGATATGGGTGGAGCCTGGTTATGGGAGCAATCAGAGCCAGAGGCCCACAGGGCCTCAGGACCTGGTTCCTGGTCAAGCCTTGTCTGGAGCCTCCACAGTAAAGGGAAAACTATACTGGTCTGCCCCAGCACCCACCCTCTTCATCTCACAAACACCAAAACTACAGTTGCCTGTTTAT